ATCTGCGTTATCGGCCTTGACTGCTTTTCGAAGGTCATCAACAAGAGCTTTCGAAGAAAGTAATACACTGGAAACAGTGATATCGCTGAACTCTTTGCCGTCTGCTTGCTTAAGATGATACCAAACTTGCACCAACTTTTTGCTGGACATTCTTGAGAAGATAATAACTCATCAGTCTTGCTCAATCTGATCATGTGTCGCCTACCCTGCTGAGTCCCAGCTGAAGTGTCACATGCACTGCGAGCTGGAGTACCAACGAACTTTCTTAAATTCAGTGATATCATTCATGAAACACTCTTAGAAATCTATTTAACAATTCTGAAAACCAAATCCACAGAATCCTGAAACCAAAAGATACAAAACAATTATAGACACAATAATCATGATGGCCAACAGTTTTGCATTCTTCCACCACATTCGTCTTTTCAATGCGGTACTTCTCTTTTTGAATTGGAAGGCTGCCTGGTTCAGACTGTCCGTTTTGTCAACTAGTATTTCAATTCGCTCGCCTCGCTCCAAGACTTTCTCGATATTCTGCACCATAACATCTTTAACTTGATCAATTTCAGAGTTCAACTGACACAGTATATCCACATTCTGGTTTGAATTGTACTGGTCTATTTTTGTGGATAGAACGCGTGCAAATTCATTCATGCCATAAGGAAGCGCGCTGAGATACTTTTCACCGTATGCCTGAGTGAATGTGTTCTCAATGTCTTGAAGGAAAGCAAAAGGGATTCTACGGCCAAACGAGGCATCTGCCATACACATGCAAATAAGACCACCGCTGCTAATTGTGTAATGGAACAGATAATCGTCGTAAACATAAGTCAGTTTCCTCTGTGTTGCGCTAGATTCAATTCTGTCCAAAATGGTCTGGGCTATTTGAGCAAAGTTTCCAGAGGAGTTTGAGTGTTCTGCAAGTATCGTGCTCTCGCGTGCGACAAGTACATAGATAAGGGACATGATTGTAAAAATGAAAGCCATTATCAAATTTATGCAAATCCTCTTTTCTTTGCTACAGGCATTACTTCCTCATTTTCACTATCTGAGTATTCAATCTCTGTCTTCTTTTCCTTTCTTTTTGACTTTGGAGATCTCTTCTTTGATGTTGCGTTTGCGGAAGCATTTGTCGCAACTTTGATCGTATTCGCCTTGTTGTTCTCTGCATTCTCTTTCTGGTGGTTAACTATAGAAGGAGATTTATACATGGTCTTTGGAATAAAAGAATTCATGAGAAGCTAAATCATTAGTATCTTAATGGGATGAAAAACCTCTTTAACTCTCTTTTGGTCTCGTATAGCTCTGAAACAATCTCCAGGAAGATCAACTTTAACTGGGTATACAGCCAAGCTCCAGCTGTGGCTTTGACATCTTGTTCTCAATAGATGGCAACATAAATCAGACAGCACATACAGATTGAAGTTTGTGGAATCTTGAGAATCTTCAACGGATTTCAATCGTTCGCAAAGAGCATATAAATATGAACAATTTTCCTGGGTAAGAACTAAATTCAAGTAGAAGTTGCAGTATTTTTGCATCATCTTAAGCTTCTCTTCTTCTTGTATTTCTTCACTAGTCATGTCTGCGTGGTTTGCGAGGAAATGAATGTATCTTGGCAACAGATTCTCAGGAATCAACTTTGAATGATTAGAGTATTGCTTGAGCTTGAAGAATAGAGAAGTGAGGTATTTCTTGATAGAAGTAAGTAAAGGTTGATCTGGTTCGAAAGGAACAATCAGTAAAGCAACAAGGTACCTTGTGTGTAACTTGAAGCCGGCCAGCAGCTTCTTCAATTTGTCTGTAAACAAGAGACGAACTGTAAAGCAAGGATCCTGTGATGTCAAGCATACACTCATATAATGCTTGAATGTCAACAATTTGGTTTCAATGTATTGCTTCTGTGCTACTTTCAGGAAACAATTCGCAGCTATAAGTCTTATGTGAGCTTTGTATTTCGTAGGAGTTCCAGAGTTTAGAGCTCCATTTCCAGATAGAATTGATAGTAAGATGTTAACAAATCGTTTTGCCATTTCTATGTTATCCTCTTTCAGCAACATCAAACGGTTGCATAAAAACTTTAAGCAGCGAATGATAGAAATAAGTTTGGAATCAGACATGTCTTCAGACCATTCATCTTCTTCATCATTTTCTTCCGAGTCCACATTAGAAACCTCAGATACGCCGAGAAAGTCGTAAACTTTGTCGTCTACTTCCATTAATACATCTTCTGGTAAAACTGTTCCAGAATTTCGTTGAAGTTCAGTAAGAACATTCAGTGAGCTTGCCATAGATTCACCACAAGCCTTTGCATTCTTCAAGCTTTCTTCAACAAGATCGTCCAAAACACTTTTGTCACTCAGTTTTAACAAGATTCGAATAGAATACTTTGCCAATAAATGTTTGAAAGCATTTTCACTCGTTGCATATGTCTTGAGAGTATCAATGAAAAGTTCATGAAGTGATAGTTTGACAGTGGCATCTTTTGAATAATCCAAACTGCTCAAGACTTTCAAGAAGACTTCATTACGAACAAAATCGTCTTCATCCTTGTGAATCAAACTGCCAAGGCTTCCAACTACCTCTTGTGTTTGAAAGAATCCCGGATAAGACTCTACAATCTGTTCAAGTATTTCTGCTGCTGCCTCCCTCATGACTTCATTTGAACTTTCGACAGATTGCTTGACCAAATAAGGTCCTAAATCACTCTTGTTGACCAACAGAACAGGCTTTGCTCTCCTCAGAATAGTAGACCACATTCTGAATGCTTCAGTAGTGCCCGAAGACTTGAGCTTGTTTAAGAAATTGGTTCTTCTCTTCAGGATTTCTTCTTTCTTGCCACTTAACAGCAGCTTCTTCAGGCTTTCAAAGCTAGTCTGGTCATTTGACTGTCCGTATTTCTTCAACAATAACAACCACTTGTTCTGTTCCGGAAAAGTCTGAAGAAGCTTCTTGCACTTCTTTTCGTCTTCATTGCCAACATTTCCTTTAACAGCCATAAAGCCATCAACAACGTCGATTAAGAGAGGAGACACAACTTTGAATCTAGTCGCCATTGAGATAAAAGAACGCTTTGCGTCTTCCGTCGATAAACTTGCATAGAAGTACAAGAATCTGAAGTTACAATATTCAACATTATTTTCATCTTGGTTTGTTGTCAGGAGCACTTCTTCTTCAAGAATCCTTTCGATATCTGCTCCAATATCTAGATTGTTGTTATGAGCAGAGACACTGCAGGATGCCTCCATCAAATACTGCGGAATCCAACCATACTTCTCGGCCAATAAATCGCTGTCACTTCTAGCCAAATCATTAAATACTTTGTTATAAAGAAGACCACAGCATTTTATGGCTTCATGACGAACTAGCAGTTTCTTGTCCTTAATTCTTTCACAAATCTTTGAGAATACATCTTTTGGCATCGTATCTATCACATCCATTCTGTCTTCAACCAACAATTTAGATACGATAACAATACTTCCGCATCTGATCTTGTCATCACTATCCATAAGTTTCTCACAAAGACAATCAGCCAACTCTTCAACCTTATCTGGATGAGCTTTCAGTACACCATGGACATATTCCAACCAAACAAGTCTGATGGATGAATTGACATCAAATTTTTTCAGTTTCCATGCATTCCAAGCAGATGGATACAACCTGATGATGTTGGAACCTTTTTCGCTGAATATTTCGCCAAGAACTTGTGTTGCAAGCAAACGCAAACTTAAATCGTCTACTCTTAGTTCTTCTTCTAATTGAGGAATTACACTCAACAATATCTCGTCACAAGCTTTGCTCAATTCAATAACAAGTTCATGAACTCTGCGAAGATCAGCCTTATTATCACCAGATTCTTTTGCGCCTGGAATAATAACATCTGTAAAGTACATTGCAACATGTTGTTGTAAGCGTTCCTTACATGCACGAATTAAATCCCTCGCTAGATCATATGCACCAATATTCTCAGTCTTTCTCTTTTTACTAAACTGATTAAGAATGACTTCAACAATGCCTCTGGGAACACTTTCATTCTCATCAATAAGAACCATCATGATCTCAAGCATTTTGTGTTTTAGTGACTTGTGAGTGTTCCTGTGCACATTATCAAAGAATGTCTCATAAACTTTCCCCAATAACATTTCATCATCGATATCAAGCAAAAGCAGAATACTTTTAATGCTTCCCAAAGAGTCCAGAATATTTATAACAAAGCCATACCACCATTCTTCTTGATAATTTAAACTAACCAGAGGGAATACCTGCTCGATAAGAACCTCAAACACATGTTTCAATGCTGGGCCTTCAAGCGGACAATCAGGAGCATAAATCCTCAGCAGTTCCACAATGCACGAGCATGCCAGTATGCGAACAGATAAATCCTTATGTTCAATTAACGGTAAAAGGTTCATAGTAGCCGTAACATCGCTTGCACCAGGCAGTAAACATGAAAGCGAGGGCAACGAAGTCATTTCCTGGTCCAGACGACACAACTCAGAGTGTAACGCTTTCAAACGCTTCGTCAACTCACTTGAAGATACCCGCACACTTGAACCAGACAGAGGCATACTGAAGACCAGCTTTTTAAAGAGAGCACCTTCCTCCGGAACTGAAACATTTTCGATCTCTTCCATTTCATCATCCACATTCGCCTGAGAATCCTCCAACTGAACCTTCTCTAGAACGATTTCCTCTTCCATTGGCTCAGCTATTTTTGTCTTTTTCTTTCCTGCTGAAGTCGCAGCAGCATTTGCCTTTCCAGAACGTTTTGGCGGCATTTGTTGTTTCAACTGGAAAAATTTCAAACAACGCTGAATTGGATAAGACGGACTTTTTGGGTTGAGCTTTCTATTTGGTTATCGCAGCAACGTCGTAGAATCTTCACAGGGTATGACCTCTAACAAACTTCTTTCTTGTGACCTTTGCAAGGACTCCAACATAACTCGAATTTACTCCTTGCTCTTTCGAACATATTGGCAAGAAAAATTTTATGTTCATCAGCTCCCGTGGCTCAGTTGGTAGAGCGCTGGACTTCTATGTGTACAACACAAGCAATCCTGAGGCCCCGGGTTCGAGCCCCGGCGGGAGTATCCTTTTGCATCTTACAGGTATTTTTACACGGAATAGCCTTCTTTTTGTCCTCACAGCCCAATAGCGCGATAATTTTTTGTTTTCATTCTTGTATTTGTTTGGATTGTGTGGATATCGCTTGTTTTTTCTCAATAGCAAAATGACGGGATTGTTTCATGGCTTAACCGCCTGGTTCTCCTCTAGATCACCTCCTAACTTGATAAAAGCATTCGGTATCATTCTTTATGCATTCCAATTTAATTTTTTATTGTAAAGAGGAAAACGGTGGCTCTGTTTCAAAAGATACCATAATTCTGAATGACAACATTGTCATGGAAGAGTTACCACGAGTACTGTTTGGAGTGGCACCGTATGATGATGAATGTGAACATTTAATGGCGAATGATTTGGATGTCTTCTCTGTCCAATGGATCACAGATTCCTTGCAAAAGAACAGGAAAGCAAAGTTGGGCAATTACATTCTTGTTTCAGACGAAAACTTTGCTACTTTTGTTAATTGTCAGAATTCTGTGCTCGTGAAGAGTTCTGTAAAGAATGAAGTTGAGAAGGAAAGGGAAATGTTTCATGCTTTACCGCCTTCGAAACAGAGCGCATTGAACATTGCTGAAGTTTACTCCTGCGATCATTCTGGCTTTGATGATCAGATCAAACCAGAAATGCTCAGAATTGTTCATCAGTCTACTTTTAAGTTCGATCATGTCTCCAAGAATCTGTCTGATCAAACTGAGATGGTGAAACAAGTTTCTTTGGCAAAGACTGAATCAACCGAGACCTTTGTTGATATTGAGAATGTCTCAGTGTCAGACGAGAATATTCAGCGAGCTAAAGGACTAATTAACGTAAATAAGAGGGAATTTGAGGATTTTATGCCTGGAGCAAATGGCGAAGTCCAAAGGGCTTGACTAAAATCTGATTTTTATTATTTTCAATCTTTTTATGGCAAAGCTTTAGCAAAACCTACACGGTTGTTACCCAAATCGTAGATGGTGTAGAATTTTCTCAAGAAAACATCACCTACAATCCATAGTGGACCAGCTGGTTCTGGAATATCCATACCCATGAATCCAGAAATGCATTGTCCTTGTGCATTCAAGATGTAATCAGTAGCCTCCAATGTATGCTTCTTACCAGCAAACACCAAAGTCAATTCAGGCAAATCTGGAACCCTTTCACATTCAACCGTATACTGACCACTCCATGTCTTCTTTGCGCCAATCTTCTTGTTGATTGCATCTGCAACAGCTGTTGGAACAACAAACAAAGAGCTTCCAGTATCAATAGCAGCACCAATACCGTTACCCTTCTTAGCACCAGTAGGAATCTTCTCATTGCCTAAAAAGACGTTCTCCAAATTGACTTCCCAGTATCCCTTGCGAGTTACAGGTGCCCAGTGCAAATCTTCAACGTCGTAATGATCTTCATTAGTTCCACCAAAGATAATCTCACCGCCTTCACCGCCTTCTCCACCATCAGCGAAATTCATCCATACACCAAATAACTTTTCTTTGATCAATTTCTGGTTGATCATGTTGTAGAATGGTGGAACGACTCTTTGAACAGCAATGTTATCGTATCCCAGACCAAGAATACCATCAAATCTACCGACAGCAAAGGTAATTCCCGGTTCTTCAATGGATTCTGCGAAATCCTGCTCTTCAATAACTAAACCACCAATTTCGACAACGTCATTTGAAATCACACCAGTCAATGAACCGGTTCCGTAACGGATGGAAAAATCAGTTCCGTTCTCCTGGTACGTAGACGACTGATCAGCATCGTACTTCCTATGCATGTAACAGGCGATCGATGAGCATCTCGTAGAAGGGACCCAAAGATTCGATGAGCCAGTATCGAACACCACACTGAACGTCTGACCAGGCGTACCGATGTTGATCTCGCCAAAGTACTGAGCATCCATGAAGTTCGTTAGCGCAACTTTGCCCCTATCTTCCTCCTTCAACTCTGCACCAAAGCGAGACATCACCTTCTGATACGATGGCAATTGCTTCACATCATCAGTGTATGCTTCAAACATGCGTTTCAAATTCTCGTGATAGTCAGGATTCTTCTTCAATGCCATTCTAATAGGCTTTCCTTCATCTTTTGAAGGGTATGCCAAGGCAAGAGCAGGCAATAAGACAAGACTGAACTTCATTGCTGTGATTCGATAAATGAAGTGATCTTGTGATCAAGCGATACTTGGAAGTACTCAAAAATAGCATTCTTCGTTAAGGTTCTTTACACTAGCGGTAAATCACTTAAACAATGTAAATGTTCCTCATCTTGTTGGAATACGTTCGCGCATGCCACAATTTACTTTTGTTCTTGTCACAAACTTTCGACGACGTTTTGAATTATTATGGCAGACTTGAACGAAGTTGATAAATTCCTGGATGAACTGAATATTGGGAATTCTGTGACGGGCCAGGCAGTGGGCACAACGTCAGATATCGATTTAAACGCTTTGGATGAATTATTGGGAGCGAATGTTGCACCAAAAGAATCAGCACACTCCAGGATTAAGAGCAATTCGTCTGTTTCAAGACTTCCGTTGGATAATATGGAACCAGTTGAAGAAGTCGCATTAAGAAGTCCAACTACAGCTAAAGATTCTTCAGAGGAGAAAACACTAAAGCCGGTTGAACCAATGGGGAATACACCAACTCCAACAGCAACTCCGACGCCTACGCCCGCTCTTGCTCCTCTACCAGTACAACAACCACAGAAGATGCAGTCGAATTCGGCGTTAATGGATTCTTCTGAGGAAATAGCACCGACTCAACCAATGGCGATTCCGGAGAATGTTGGCCAGTTTTTCAAGAAGTTGGCTTCGAGCACTTCATTGGCTGTCGCGACAGGAATGTCTAAATCTTCCAGTTGGTACAAAAGTCAAGTTTCTCCCGGAGGTCATACAGAGACGGTACCTGAGACAAAGAAAGAAGTTTTATTTCAAAGCGATTCTCTGGAACCATCTGCGGAAGTTCCTGGTGGAAGAAGTACAGAACTTCCTGTGCTCAAAGTAGATCCATTCAAGGAGGACTCTGAGGCAATTTTGAACTACCGTCAGGAGCTTTTACAAGAATCTGAAGTTGACATGAAGCAGATTTATCGATTGTATTTGAATGAATGCCAGAAACAAGCTATTGTTGGAATGGACAAATTCATTGCTTTATTAGCAGGATATGTTAAATCAAAGCAGCCTTTGCTTATACTGAACATGTACGGAAATGTTATGGAACAAGTTGATTGTGAAATATTCGCAAGAGTGTTGCTAATGTTGAAAGATATCAAAAGGCTTTCTTTGGAATATCTCGATATGGATTCTTATCGTCTAGAATTAATCCTGAAGAGTTTATTAGCCTTAGACAAACTTCCCTGGTTGAGTATTGCTTTTAATCCTGCTATATCTGCTGTGGGACTGAAAACTGTGTCCATGTATGTATCGATGACAAAATCTCTGAAGTACCTTGACGTTTCAGGAATACTATTCAATTATGCTGCTTTATCATTGTTTTCAAAAGCTATACAAAACTCGCCTTTACGGATAATTCGATTGGATGGATGTGGATTGCAAGCTGCTTGGCTTGATGATTTTGTTCAAGAAATCTTTTTATCCAAAGTTAAAGTTTTGAGTCTACGATCAAACTCTGGAATAAGTACTTCTCCGGATGGGATTGTGTTTATAAAGAAGTTGTTCTCGGAGAAATCAAACTTGGAGAAAATTGACATATCTTTGAACAATTTGAAAGCGCAAGGAGTTCAACTTATTTTTGAGGAACTACGAAAGAACAAAAGTTTAACTCATGTTTTTTTGAGTGCGAATAACATTGACGGCAGGGGCTTAGTGTATCTCTCGCCTGTTCTAAAAGAAAATACGACATTGAAGGCTTTGGATTTGAGCGGGAATCCTAGTCTTTGTTCATCTTCTGAATACATTGATGCATTTAAACTTGGTCTCATTGGATCAAAGAGTCTCGCAGTGCTGAATTTATCTGGATGTGGTTTCAAGGTTGATAGTGCTATAACGTTTGCAGAAGTGTTACCAGAATTGAAACGTTTGGAACGTCTGATACTAACAATGAATGATACTGCTCTGAATCCGGATAAAGCCGCAGTTTTGAATGTTGGACAGAATGCTCTTGCTTTTGGTCAAAGAGCTTTAAAATCGATAAGTGCTGCAGTTGATTCAACAAAGCAAAGCGGCTTCACGAAACTCGTTTCAAAGTCAATTCCTACAGGCCAAGAAACGGCCATGGCAGCACTGTTGGCTATTGTTGTTTCATTGAGACAAAACCAATCTTTGACAAATGTCGACATTGTTGACCCAAAAGAGTTTGAGAATATCAAGAAGAAATGGAAAGGCGTAGAAACCAACTCTGATGGTCAAAAGAATCCTTACGGCTTACTCAAAGAAATACAAGACATATGCTTAAGAAATGCTAATCAAATCGCTTTGAGAGAGAAATCTGCTAGACCTACAAGTGGAGGAGAATCTGTTGAAACAGATATCAGACTAGACAAAGTCACAAGCGATGCAGATGTTGCTCGACATAATTTGGATCTGTTAAAAGAAATGCTTCGAAAATACATAACTGACAAAGAAGCACAATCATCCTCTGAAACTGAAGTGATGGAACAGCTCTGGTCTCAATGCAAGAGATTCAGGAGCAACATCATGAAATACGTTGATCTCGAGCATGTGGCAAAGGACGCAAAACTATCAGGTAAATACTTTTTGCTTACTATTTAACATCTTGAAGATAAACTGCTACTATTAGCAAGTGAATTACAGTCAGCCATAACACTCTACGAGGAAACAATGATAAGCAAGCACGATAAACCTGAAGTACAAGAAGCGCTAAAGGAAGAAGTTTCACAAAGCAGGCCAATGTATTCTTTAGGGGATGATTTTGATGACAGCATGGAAGAGCTAACAGATCGAGAGGCTTAAATATATGACCAAAACTGTCAGAATTTTTTCGCGGTTTCAATTTTCTGA